AGTTTCTTAGATGTTTCTTTTGTTCATCACATAAAGATGGAGAAAGAGGTATTTTAAACACTGAAATAAAGATAATTTTTGACAATCTTTTACCATGACTGCTTCCCCAAGCACTTAGTAACTGTTTTCTTTTATAAGACAGAAACCCAACTGAGGGAGACATTCAGCAATCACTGTCAATGAATGGGATGAGCTGACACTGTGCAGCTGTAAAGAGCTCCGTTTCTGCTGACATTCTCTGTGGTGAACCTTTACGTCTGGGTTCCTTAGAAGTTCATGAGTGCCCTCTGCTCAGAGATCCCAGTTGCCCCTGTTCTATTAACACTCATATGATCTAGAAGCAAATTACTTTACATCTTGGATTCTCCAGGGACTGTTTAACAAAGTAGCAACAGGAACATGAATAAAATACTTCTGGTCTTTTCAGGTTGTTTATTTATTTGTGGACACAAGAGAAACTTGTTGTCATTTCTTTATATCATCCCATGCCCTTGGCTTACCCTTGGTTTCAAGTGCTACATTCAAATGTCAGCCTCCCCAGTTCTCCCTGTGGTCAAACAAGGCTTCCTCCCCATTTCCAGTCCCTTTGTGATCTGCCCTGTTTTCCACTTCGAATGAGATCAATGGTTGTGGTGGACAGAAGCTCTTGGTTGCAGTTCCTCAGAGAATGTGACAGGCAAGGCCAGATAATCACCAGACTGGGGTTCTGTAATGGAGGAGCTCACAGCTGGGTTCTTCCAGAGCCTGAGGACTGTTGTGTGTCAGAGGCTAGGAATGAACAACTGAGAGATCCAATAAAAAATGGAGAAAGGTGTTATGAGCTCTACATTGTCTAGACTACCAGTGGCACTAGTTCTGAAGTATATCCAGTTCTATTTTACTACTACGACTGAAAAGAAAAGATAATTAACTGCAACCAGTAATGACACGAAGTCACACATTATATTAGTTACTTCCTTGTTGCTGGACCTCTTAGAGAATACCTGCATCTTAGTGGAGGAGAGGTTTATTTTGGCTCATGTTTTCAGTCTGTAGTTGGCTGACATCAAAGTAGAAATGGCAAAGTTGGAGGATCTGGTAAAGAATAGCTGCTCATGGTGTGGTAACCAAAATATACAGAGAGGAGGGAGGAGCCCAAGAGGGTGGGAGATACACTCTTCCACGTCATAGCCCCAGGGACCTCCCTCTTCTGATCAGGCGCTACCTGACGATCCCACATTCAGCTGTTACAGACCCAGTTCCATGTATTTACCACTTAAAAATATAGAGATCGTTATGTGATTCAATCTTCAAAACAATGCAACTTGGATATTATTTTATGTATCAGGATATTTAGGACTTCTACAGAATATGATAGTGTTTTCTTTTACTCGCTACTTCTAGTAGTGAGTAGCTGACTTATATTTAGAGACTTAAGATGATTCTTCTATAGCCGTTCTTGAATATCTGCAAATCTTTGGTAGATTTTTCACATTTCTTTTTCAAGCACTGCCTTTTGATTATTTAACATAAAATTTAAAAGTTAAAAATAAAAGAGCATCTCACCCAGAACTGTATTTAGATTGAATTTCCAGCTCAGTTATAATTTTCATTAAGTATATGAGATGCATAGGAAGTCAAAGATAGAAACCAAACAGATTATTCCACCAAGTCATGAGAAGTAGGGTAAGACTCCATCACAGTTTCCCAACCACCCCCAACCACCCTCTGCATCGTATTGTATGATAGAATACAAAACTGAGATGGTATAAAATATATTCAGTAAACAATAAATCTTTTTAAATAAAGAAGAAAGAAAATACTTCCCACGGTCACCCATTTTTCATTTCTAGGGACAGAGAGTGGTTGGGAATTAATTTTAAATTAATTGTTTAAAATATCGATAAGTTACTTAAACATTTGTAGTAAAATAATGGTGATGTATGAATTGTTAAGGTAAGCATATAGCAAAAGAAAGAGCACAAGTGTTGGAAGAGAGGAAATAGAAATATACTGATGTAAGTTTCATATACTATGTATGAAATGGTATAAAATAATTTATAGATTTAGTTTGTAAACTCTAACACAATCACTAAAGTTAGCAAAAAAAGAACAATTATAGAACAATAAAAACAGTTAATGTATTATTATTACTATTATTATTATTAATTTTTGGTACCAGGGATTGAGCTCATGATCTCACGCCTGCCAGGCAGGTACTTGTGCCACTGAGCTAAATTCCCAGCCAAAACACTGTTAATTTCAAAGAAGTATAAAAATGGGAAAAGGAAATAAATAAAAATCAAAGAACAAGATAATAGATTTAAAATATCTCAGTATTCCATTAAGTGTAACTGATGAAAATTCCCAGATAGAAAGACAAATATTGCCAGATTGGATTACAAGAAAGCAGACCTGAGGCCATATCCTGCCAACAAGACACGCTTTTACAGTGTAAGGACACAAGCAGGTTAAAAGTAAAGGACAGAGCAAAAGTTCCACGCTAACATTAATTGAAAGAAAGAGTAGCTACAAAACTTTGGATTTTAGAGACAATAGATTTTAGAGAAAAGAATATTATCAGAGTAAAAGATAGCTATTTCCTAATGATCAAGTTTGTATGACTTACAGAAATAGTACCAAGTTAAATTTTTGTTATTCTTAAAGATAATGAGATAGACTATTTCTCCAAATGGAGATAATTTTTCTAACTTGTCTGACTATACAATGAAAATGCATTATCTATGTGACAGCAAATGTATTTGGTTTCATTGTTGACTTGTTCAGCAGCTCTAACATGCCATAAAGGAATCTGGTTATTTTCATATTTCTGTTCTGCCATACCCAGGACATCAGCTGGTCCTCAGACTTCCCACCCTATGAATACAAGATGCTGCCAACATTCTAGGAAATGTATCTAGATGTCCAACATATAAAAAGAGGGATAATTTATGCCCAGTTATCTTCCTTCTAAAATACCAGAGCATTTGTCCACCTATAAAGTAAACCAAACACTTGCAATTACACTGTTATTACCATAATTGACTTGTATCAGTGTTTTACAAACTTTTCCTGCAAAAGAGACAGATGGCAAATATTACAGTTTTTCAGGTTATGTGTCCACAACTAATTATCTCAACTATTTTAGCATGAAAACATCCGTAGACCATATATATAAAATGAATGGAATATTTGTAGCACCTTTTCATTGACAAAAATACGGGGCAAGATTTGCACCCCTGAGTTAGACTAATCAGCCGAAGCGAGTTGGATACTTCAAATTTCATGCTCTCTGTAACAAAGTCGGAAGGAATAGCCATTGGATAAGCATTTAGCAGTATCTGCTGTATACTGTAACCTCATGTCCTCCACATTACCTGCAGTTATTCGGTGCTCAAAAGACATTGATTGAAAGGTGAGTGACATGCGCAGCAGTAGGGTAAATGAGCACCTTGGGACACCACCCCAAGCTGTGATGGTTTGAGGCTCTGGGAATTGTTTTTACCAGCTCTCACACTTTTGCCTAGGGCCTCGAAACCTTTTGAGATAAGATTTATTCTCATTTAAAGTTTTTGCCTGATGCAACATAGGTGACCTGGCAAGGCACCAGGTGAGAAAAAGAGTTCATGGGATCAAAGTGACATTCCTACTTCCCTAGAACGGCAGCGCTGGCTTCCTCCTCTCCTCTACATCAAAGTTTCACAGAGGCAGCAGCAACACAAATAATAAATTAAAAGGAGAAAGATCAATCATGGGACTATATGTTTGAAAAGCTGAATTACAATGTTAAGAAGATAGAGAATGGGAGGCTTTTTTTAAAACCTAGAGTTATATTTCTTCTTCCCTCAGTTAGTGAACAGAGTCCTGTTATTTCTGAAAATGCATTTATTTCTGAACTGAATGTGTACATGCTGTGAAAATATGTGGGTGCACCTGCTAAGATGATTCACTTCCCCAGAGCATCCAGAATTGGGAGAGTCACGGCACTACAACTAATTACAGGTTTGGGGTCCTCCTTGATGCGGTGAGTCCTGAGGCAGGAGGGCACCTTTCTCAAGCGGTGACAAATCATTTCTCAGCTTTTAAATGACTTCATTACTAGAATAAATTCTAGGAAAGGAAACCTCAGGGTCAATTATGAAAATAGTTTGTTATACAAGTAAAGGCTTTAAGGAGTATTACCATTGATTTTTAACAGAAACGGAAAGATAAATTTCAAATATGCAGTCTAGGGCCAAATTATTTACCCCCAGTGTAAGACTTACTATTATTATTTTTTTTTTTTTTTAGCAATAAGCAGTTAAGATGTAGAGACTCAATGGCTTTTGCACTGAGTTCAAATTTCAGCTGAATATGACCTTTGTTAAGTTGATTTAACTCTCCAAGCCTCCGTTTATGTGTATAGCGGGTGTGACAATAACACCTACCTCACAGATAAAATAATTTCATCTTTGTAAGTGACTTCACACAGGTTGGTCATTGCTTCAGGGCAATGACACTGACTGAAATGCTGGAGAAAGGAGTGGGACACCCCCCCCCAATTGTTGTAAGGCTGTACAGAGCTAGGTATGGTGTCCAGGGTTAGACATTCTATTTCCACCTAAGCCTGATTCTTCTTAGTAAGCTTCTAAAAGATGAGAGTTTCATACACAGATAAAAAATCTAGAGACTGTTTCCCACTCAGATGCTTCTATTTGGTCCTTCACTAATAAGGTCCACCGAGATAAGATTCTAGGAGCTACAAAGGTGGGTCCCACTTTGAACCATCTGAACCAAACTAATTTGTGTTAGGCTTTAAAGATTTTATTTGTTTACATTTTCTTTTCTCATAGTTGGACCAGCTCAGGAAAAGTATTCCTGAATCTGTGTTTTAATCCAGGGTAAACACTGGTTTTTCCTCAGACTGTAATAGGAAGTATGAGCCAATTTGGGGGAATGTTTTGAGAAATAACACAAGCATTATTGTTAAACATTGTATAGAATGTTAAATTCTATGATCTGATAAATAATAAATATTCATATACTCTAGAGTCTTTTAATTTCAACTTATTTACTGGAATCACATTCATTTACATGAATAAATATATATTTAGTTACTTGAACACATGGTTTTCTTCAGGCCATGATGGCTATTTTAGTTACTTTTTGTATTTTAAATTCATGTATTTACCCTAACCAGTGCTTTGAGGATTTCCTATGTGTTTTTCCTTTCCAGATTTTGCTCTTACAGCTTGTTGAGTCAGTATTGTTTCTTTCACAGCGCCATGGTGGGGAGACTCACAGTAGTTTGCTGAAGCCATCAAGATGTTGTCCTTCTCCTTCGGCTTAGTCTGTTTCTGCTGCTTCAATAAAACACAGCAAACAGTAGTTTATAGGTGATAGTTATGTCTCTGGTGGATCTGGGCTCTAAGGATCTCTAGACTCACCTTTGCTGGGCCCGTCTTTCTCTTGATACAGGAAGAGGAGAGGGAGTCAGAGAAAACCAGTGCAAAGCTAAAGTACTTTGTTACCGGGATTGCAGGAGGAAGCTGTGCAAAGTCACCCCCCAGAATGGGGCACTGGAGCTGGAGAACTGCAGAATCTGAGTTGGCAGTCCTGTTTTGTGGGGTAGGGGCCCTGTTTCCGTCTTTCTGGGGGGGGGGGCGCTTGATTGATTGGATACTGGGCTTGTTGCTAGGGGTGTGGTCTTGTGATCCAGTGGGGGAATTGGAGTAGGCATGGCAACCTGCACAGGAGGGCGGGCGCTGCCCGCACAGAGGCACGTGTCAGACCACACAGTCAGCTTCAACCCCCAAGACTGCTTGGACACTGCTTGTTGCTCACAGCCACACAGAGGCTGCTTTTTCCTACCTTCGAAAAGGACCCAATTTCTATAGTAGAAATGCACTTCTCGTGGTTCTAGAGGTTGGGAAATCCAAGATAAGCTGCCAGGAGACTGGGAGTCTGGGGAAAGCTTTGTTTCTGTTTCAGTGTGGCGCTTTCCTGCTGTCCTCTCAGGTGGTGGAGGAGGGGGGTGGGAAAGGCTGGTACACCCCATCCCTCCCTTACTCGGAGCACTGACCTAGTCAGTGAGTGAGGAGTACTTGTGACTTTATCATTCCCCCAGAGGCCCCCGCTATTAATACTATCACGTTGGATTTTGGCTCCAATTTTGTGAATTTTGAAGTGACACACTCATTCAGGTGATAGCATTTGTCCTTCTTGAAAGTAATATTAATTCTGAGGTTCGATGTGATTCTTGGTATAGACCAACGTGCTCCATAGTGTATTCTACAAGCTACCTTTAGTTCCTTCTTTCCCTTCTTTTATTAATAAGTTGCTGATGGAAAGCTGAAGTAATACGCAGATATGAAGTTTTAAAACACGGATGGAATAGGGAAAACTTGCATGTAGGATCAGGGCAGACAGGGTAAAGTGCCTGAGTGTCAGTGCCAAGCCTCACCATTTATTGATGGTTTGACATGGACAGTCCCCTCATGTCTCTCAGTTTTGTCTATGAAATGAGAATAATTTTAACACCCACGCCGTGGGCCAGTTGAGAAGATCAAGTTAAAATCTTGGGCTGAAACTGCTTGATAGTATTTCTTTAACAACACTGGGCTCCATATGCTCATGATTGTCCCTAGAGAGCTATATAGTAACCCAAAATACCTATTACTTAAGGTGATACTTCCCCAGTATGGTAAGGAAAAACTTTCTCCCCAAGAATTGAGTTTCCTGTCAATAGGAATGTGGTATCCCTACCCTCACAGAGATAGTAAATTGTAGAATATTACTTGCTCTGATTCCCTCTGTTCTCTTCTTTCCCCTTAGATTTACAGTTATAAGATCTATATATATATTTGTCTATATAACTATCTGTATCATCTATATCTATGTATTTGCCTTCTCTTTTCTCAGGCTGGCTTTTCCAGTATCATTAAGTATCAGACTTGAGATAATAGTTCCTTTTCAGTAATTCTTTTCCTTGATGGAATGTTTCTAGCTAAATCGAATAAATTCAGGATTGGGCTTTTCTTTAATCAATTTTCATGTCTCACTTTGTTACTGATGTATCAGTGGCATTTTGTTCAGTCTGCAATAATCAACTGTGTAGGACAGGAAATTGCAAAAGGAACACGAGTCATGACTATCGAGTCTGTCATTAATTTGTGCCTGTGGGGTTCATGCCCTGTGGCGGAGCCCAGGATTGGGCGTGGGGTCTCCCAGGGGACCTGACATATCACTAGCCCAGTAGTCTGCCTCTTTCCAAGGATGAGCCTGGCTTTTTGAATGCTCTGTTCTTTCCTAGTTTTTACCACTGCTCCATGTTTGCATGAGTTATTATTTTCTTTAATATTTGGAGCTATTTAGACTCTAAACAAGAAATTCATTTGAATAGGTTTATCTATTTGCTGATGTTTTTATGCTTTAATTTAGTCAATAAAGGCACATGGATACTCTATGTTGTGTTAGACCTTTTATAATGTATTAAAATATATAAATATAAAAATAAATTAACTTAGCTAACACCTTAATTTTTTTTCCATGTTCCAGGTACTTTGCTAAGCACTGGATATGTATATTAAAGTCACACAACAACCTTATTCACACAACAACTCTATGAGGCAGACACAGTTTTCTCTATTTTTATAGCTGAGAAAGTAAGACACAGTATTTAAGAAACATGCTCTGCAACACAGAACTAATCTATTGTTTTCTTTATTAAGGAAAAGTGAATTGAAGGACATGACTCCCCATTACTGATGCTGGTCAGTGTATTCCAATCACATAATACCGTAGTATGATTAGGGCACATGGTATGATTAGCTGCCCTTCAAGAGAGTGATTATTTGTACTGGTGCCCATCTCAGGGCCTGATCATGAAGTGGGACCTCGGGTCCAGAAGTGGGATCATCTTAGTCTTTCCATGGGCTTCTCTTACTTGAACTTGGACTCATGAGTACCATGGTACAATTTAGACTGCTTTCACCTGGAGGATCTACTATGTTTCCCTTTTATAGCATACTCTAGGACTGTGCACCTGGACCAGGGTTCCAAAAGAGTTGTTCTGAGGACAGTAATAATGATAATGCTGATCAGAATAATAGCTAATATTTACTGAGCATTCTTCTAACAATTTCAGTGTTTTGAATATATTAGTTCCAATTTTCTAGCATCATATCACACACACATACACACATATGAAATATTCAGACAAGTATAAAATAAGTAATTTTTTTAAATATGATTAAGTAAAGAAATTGTTCTAAGAAATTGAGGGGAAGTCTTGCAGCTAAGCTGGGCTCAGAAGTGTTAAAGGAAGATTAGGACCTTAAGGATAGCATGGGCCAGGCCTGCAGAGGTGACCAGAAGAGTTTGGACTTTATATTTGCTGAGAAGAGACCTCGAGAGCAGGAGCACCCAGAAGCACTGAGATGGGCAGTAGTGAGACAGGCAGAGGCCCCCTGCAGTGAGGAAAGGGAGCCTGGAAGACAGCAGGGACGGGGCTGTTGAGGAAAGGATGCTCCATGTCAGGTACCTGCGGGGACTACTGGAGAGACAGAGCGAGCTCAAACTGTAAGTTTAGACCTTAAAAGAATGCAGAATGGAGACACAAGCTCAAACATCTGTAATACATCGATAATTTTCAGTTCTACAAATATTTATTAAGCACTGACTAAGGGCCAGGGATTGTCTTAGGAGCTGGGGATTTAGCAATGCAATAAAGCAAGCAAAAGTCCTGCTTGTAGAGGTTACTCAGAGAAGATAATTAAGTAAAATACAATATTTGGTGTAGTAATTACCAATAAATGCAGCATTTATAGCAGGAAAGGTGATAGTGTGTGTGTGTGTGTGTGTGTGTGTGTGTGTGTGTGTGAAAGGACTTGCACTTTTAGACTGAAAATGGCCCCTCATCATTAGAGAAAGTGCTGTTTAGTAAAATTGTAAAATAAAAGAAGTGAAAAGGGGGAACCACGCATGGGGTGTAGGTGGGAATGCTTCATAGCAAATGCAGAGGTTTAGAGGCCAGATTGTTCTCGGCATGTTCAAGGCATGGCAAGGAGGCTATTTTTATAGCTAAAGCACAGAAAACCAAGGGCAGAGTGACAGCAGAGGAGATCAGAGAAGTCAGCACAGGAAGCCAATCACACAGAGCCATGTAGATTTCACTAGGAAACTTTACTTTCGCTCTGAGTGATATGGAAAACTAATGACGGCCTTGAGGTAACAAGAGTTGGCCTATATTTTAATAGGATCACTCAGGATGCTTTGTGGAGAATAAAAGAACAAAGGAAAAAGCAGATCTATTCAAGAGCTATGCAATAAGCCAGCTGAAGCATAGTGGCTTGGATCAAGTGAAACAGAAGTGGTGTGTGGCAGCCAGATTCTGCATATATGAATAGTTGAAGGCAGTCAAAATGTTTTAGTTACAGTTTCAGTACAGGGTGCGGGATGAGGACGGTAGTCAAGGATTCCTGTGTATTTAGCCTAAGCATTTGAAAGAAGACAACTACTCTGTGCTTTGGTGAGAAGTCTGGGGAGGGCAGTGTCTTCCTCACTTTCTCATCGGTGGGATAAACACCTGATACCCACAGTTTAAAGCAGAAGAGGTCTATTTTGGCTTAAATTTTCAGTTCAGGGTCAACTGACTCCAATGCATAAATGACTTTGTAGAAAGGGCCATCAGAGAAAAGCTGCTAGTGTCATCGTGGCTAGGAAGAATAGCTAAGGGAGGAGCAGGAAGTGAGACGCACCCTTTCAGGTTTCTCCTCCACTCACCTACCTCTACGTAGGCCCATTTCCTGGCAGCAAGTCAGCTATGAACTCTATGATGGACTTACCTACTGATGAGCATACTATTCCCATGACACAATCAGCTTCTACATACATGTGGCTTTTGGACAACACTCCAGATCTAAGCCATAACAGACAAAAAGTCAGCAAAGAAATAGCGTAATGGAATCAAACCTGTGAGCAAATGCACTTAGTAGATGTCTACAGAGTGTTCCATGTAACCACAACAGAATATACACTCTTCCAGCTGCATATGGGACAGTCTCCAACATAGACCATATAATAACCCATAAAACATTCTTAAGTAAATGCAAAGGCATTTAAATTATCCCATGCATACGTGGAAATCAAATAGCAACCTTCTGAACAATCAGTGGGTTACATGTGAAATTAAAGAAGAAATTAAGCAATACCTACAAAGTGCAGATACAGCATACCAAAACTTATGGGACACAATGAAAGCATTCCTATGAAGGAAACAGATAACAATAAATTGTCACATCAAGAAAACAGAATGAGCACAAGTGAACAACCTAATGACACATCTCAAGCTTCTAGAAAAACAAGAGAGGAAATTAAAATATTAGAGCAGAAATTCATGCAATTAAGACAAAAAAATACAGAGAATTAATGAATCAAAGAGCTTGTTTTTTGGGAGAACAGACAAAATTGATAAACCTCTAGCCAACCTTATCAAGAAAAATAAAGAGAAACTGAAATTCATGCAATAAGGACTGCAAAGAGAGAGATCACTATAAATCCCATGGAAATTCAGAAGATCATGAATACCTACTTTCAAAATTTTTACTCATATAAGGTGGAAAACAGAGGAAATGGACATATTTCTGGAAATGTATGAACTACCAAAGCTCAAACAAGAAGATATAACAATTTTGAATAACCCAATATAAACTAATGAAATTGAAAACATGATCAAAAACTTACCACCATCACTAACAACAAACCCAAGTCCTGATGGATCCATGGTTGAATTATATAAGAAATTTAGAGAAGATTTGATGCCAATATGTCTTAAACTCTTGAATGAAATTGAAAGGGAAGCAATCCTCCCTAACTCATTCTTGGAGGCAAGTATGACTCTTATACCAAAACTAGAGAAAGACTCAACCGAAAGGGCAAACTATAGGCCAGTCTCACTAATGAACATTGATAAAAAGATTCTCAATAAAATACTGGCAAGTAGAATGCAGCAAATCATCAGGAAGATTACACATCATGATCAAGTGAGATTCATTCCAG